CGAGGAGTCCCGAGAGGCTCCTGTGTACGCCCCGAGGCCCTCCTTCGGGTACCCGCAATGAGTCAAGCGTCGCCATGATCTTATTTCATCCATGTCATCTCATCTAGTAAAAAAAACATAAATATATGCTTGAGTTACATATATTCGATAATGAATCCATCATGTACACAGTATACTCTTAATAAAACTTCAACTATTGCAGTTTAGCAATTATTTCATGAAGAATCTAACCTGAATCTGCAAAGAGGACTGTCTATTACCTGTAAGTCTGCTCACAAAGTATAATTTTAATGTGACGCACACATTCCGTCGCGTACATATACTGCATATTTACGGTATATGAAGAGACATTTTAATTATGAATGCATTTACAGTATATACGTAACAGGTTAAGATGTAGCTAGTACATAGTAAAATGAAATGTTCATATTGGAAGATTTATGGAATAACACAGTTTTGCTTCAAACGTCTATGTACGTATACGCATATGCATAGATTCATACATATAGGTACATACATATACATGTATACCTATGTATACCCAGGTATATATTTATGCATATTCATGTTTGTCATGTATGTATATACATACCTACGTGCACACACATACATACATACATATATATATATATATATATATATATATATATATATATATATATATATATATATATATATATAAACGCATACGCATTACTGGAACGTGCATTATGCACTGAACCTACATTGATATCATAAATATATCAAAGATTAATATCATAAATAATGTCAAAGATTACTAAGCAGTAGAAAAGTTAAATGAAGAAGGAAAAGAATAAGTGGATAACGAGAATAGACATTAACAGATAAATGAGCAAGTAGATGAACGAAATCAAATAGAAAAATAATCAATAAATGGGTTGTTTTGTTGCTCCAGTGTCTTTCAGTGCCAGTACTTTTGAAATCACTCTGTACCTGGCATAAATGACATTTATTCATAACTATTGCAATACATCATAATCCACTCATCTTCCAATACACTTTCGTTACCCATTTATCTTTCATGCATTTATCTTTATTTACACGAAACACGGCGTCCCTGTGGCTATTGACTCGCGCACCGCTGCTTGGCCGCGACCCGCACTTTAAAGTCCTGAACCAAGCAAGCAGATGAGTAAGTAATGAGTATATTAGGAAATACGCATATGGTTTAAATGTACAACGCAGGTGTTGATAGATATGCGGACTTATACACGCATTTAGGATGCATATGTGTCTGTATGTCTCTGTGTATCTACAGTGTATTGATACCCTCTCTCTCCTTTTACATACATACATACATACATACATACATACATACATACACACACACACACACACACACACACACACACACACACACACACACACACACACACACATATATATAATATATATATATATATTATATATATATATATATATATATTTGTAGAAATGTTGAGTACATAGGTATATATGTAATATGATAATATCAAATATAGACTTACACTAAACACATACAAGTGTCTATTTACTCTATATGTACACTGTATACACACGCGCTCGTATATATCTACTTCCGTGCATGTATACGATGAAAATTGTCAAATATAAATTCACACATACATGTACACACTTACACATGTATATATATATATATACTACACACACACACGCATATGTATATGTACATAGATAGATGGATAGATAGATACAGATTGATATATATTGACTAATAGATAAACACACATACTTGTTAAAATGAAAACCATAGTGTTAGAAGAAACTAAATCATTACAGTAAAAGAAAAAAAGAAAAGAAAAAAAAAAAAACGGTTTTAATTCAGTTTTATTGCTTATCAATAACGTTTCCCAGGTAAATGAAAGGCGATTTCTTATCTACGAATGGTGATTTATGGCTCTGGATACTCCTCTATAAGTCCTTGAACTATGGAACTCAACGTCGCTGCCCAATTAATCAAGAAATCGTTGTCTGGCAACTTATAATGAGGGAGTATATATAGGGTGAGGCGTTTACCTGTCCATCAATTGTAGCTTGAATGATGGCGTCTAAGGTAGGTCGAGAGAGATTTTAATCGTCTCTGTGTATCCACATGTCTATCCATATGTACAGTAAATTCTCTATAAACTTCAATCATTTACATAGACAAACATAAGGTCTTATTCCTTCATATATGATACTGAGGTGGAGGCAGTAATTCATGTAGCGTGAGGAATGCGAATCAGTTTTCATAATGTCATCTTTTGCAGATCTTCCTCGTCCTCGCTCTCGTGGCGTTCGCCTCGGCCGACAAGAGGCCTTCCTTCTCCTATGGCGTTCCTCAGGTATGCTAGTCTGGGTCTTCGGTAGGAATATTTCATTCTAAATGTCACCGATATTCTTCTTACGGCTTCATATGGTTAAAAAATCCCTCCAAACATTTTCTAAAACCTTTTCAGCAGTCCATGGAGGAGGACTCCATGGAGGAGTCTGCTCCCCCGAAGTACGAGTTCCAGTACGGCGTGAAGGACGGAGACTCGGGCGTGGACTTTGGCCACGGAGAGTCCCGTGACGAGGACGAGACTCGAGGCTCTTACACGGTGCAGCTTCCCGACGGCCGCCTGCAGAGGGTGACGTACCACGTGGACGGCGACGGCGGCTACGTGGCCGACGTGACGTACGAGGGCGAGGCTCAGTTCCCGGAGTCCGAGGAGTCCCGAGAGGCTCCTGTGTACGCCCCGAGGCCCTCCTACGGGTACCCGCAATGAGTCAAGCGTCGCCATGAATTTATATCATCCATGTCATCCCATCCAGTAAAAACATAAATAAATGCTTGCTATGTATATTCGATAACGAATCCATCATGTACACAGTATACTCTTAATAAAACTTCAACTATTGCAGTTTAGCAATTATTTCATGAAAAACCTGAGACAGCAAAGAGGACTGTCTATTAACTGTGTCTGCTCACAAAGTATAATTTTTAATGTGACGCACACATTCCGTCGTGTACATATACTGTACATTTACGGTGTGTGAATAGAGACAAAAATTTTTAAAGAGAATTATATGAGTAGGCTGTTGGCAAAAGATGCTTTTGGGAAAATATTATTTTGCCACGTAAGACGTTATATATATATATATATATATATATATAATATATATATATATATATATATATATATATATATATAATATATACCAACGGGCACACACGCACACACATTACTGGAATGTGCATTGTACACTGAACCTACATGAACCTAATATCATTTATATATATATCAAAGATTAATATCATAAATGATGTCAAACATCACTGAACAGTAGAAAAGTTAAATGAAGAAAGAAAAAAATAAGTGGATGACAAGAACAGACATTAACAGATAAATGAGCAAGTAGATGAACGAAATCAAATACAAAAATAATCAATAAATGGGTTGTTTTGTTACTCCACTGTCTTTCAGTGCCAGTACTTTAAAATCACTCTGTACCTGGCATAAATGACATTTATTATTAACTATTACAATACATCATAATCCACTCATCTTCAAATACACATTCGTTACCCATTTATCTTTCATGCATCTTTCTCTATTTACACGAAACGGTGTCCCTGTGGCCATTGACTCGCGCACCGCTGCTTGGCCGCGACCCGCACTTTAAAGTCCTGAACCAAGCAAGCAGATGAGTAAGTAATGAGTATATTAGGAAATACGCATATGGTTTATGTGTACAACACAGGTGTAGATAGATATGCGGACTTATACACGCATTTAGGATGCATATGTGTGTGTATGTCTGTGTATCTACAGTGTATTGATTATCTCTCTCTCTTCCTTTAAATATATATATGTTTGTAGAGATGTTGAGTACATAGGTATATATGTAATATGATCATATAAAATGTAAACCCACCACAAACACATATAACTGTCTATTTGTTGTATATGTACACTGTATACACACACACACGCGTACGTATGTCTATTTCCGTGCATATATACGATGAAAATTGTCAAATATAAATACACACAGACATGCACACACTTACACATGTATATATATACGTATATATATATACATATACACTGCACACATACACGCATATGTATATATACATAGATAGATGGATGGATAGATACAGTTTTATATATTGACTAAAAGACACATTTGTTAAAATGAAAACACTACACGCTACTGTGGTTGTGTTCGTATGTGTACATAGACTGTATGAATAAACATACATGCAGTATCTGAAGATCCTGCTGTGGTAGCAAGAACCTCGGGTCTCGGGATTTTCAAGTGCCAGTCGATGTTTTAAGCCGAACTTTGGTTTTCCTGTGAAAGAAAAGGAGTTTTAATTCAGTTTAATTGCTTTCCCAACTCTAACCGAATCTTTCATAAATCAACTCAGACCCGTTGGCTAAACGCACTAAGTTTATCCGAATCCGATATAAATGCAGTAACCTTCAAGCCTGCTGGTACCAGAATGGATAGATCGCCATTCATTATCGGAGTTATAAGTAAATAAAATCGTAAAATGTTATGAAATTTAATAATTATAGTTAACCAAATCATTAAAACGTTAAGGGATGTTTGATAAATCAACTCAGATCCGTTGGCTAAACGTCCTTGGTTTAACCGAATCAGGTATTAACACAGGATATCTTAACTATCGGGATCAGAATGGTAAGATCGCCATTCTTTATCGGTACTGAAACTAAATAAAACCATAAAGTGTGATGAAACTAAACCCTTACAGTTAACCAAAATCCTAACACATCATAATGTTATCAATAATGTTTCAATATTAAATGAGGTGATTTCTTATCTACTGTATGAATAGTGACCAGTAATGGCTCTGGATAGTCCTCTGTAGGTCCTTGAACTTTGGACCTTCACGTCGCAGCCAAAATGATCGAGGTGTTGTCTGGCAACTTATATGGAGGGCGTATATATAGGGTTCGTCTTTTACCTGTCCATTAATTTTAGCTTGAATGATGGCGTCTAAGGTAGGTCGAGAACCGTTTAACCAATTCTAGTTTTGTGTCTACACGTCTATCCATGGGTTTGTTTACATAAAGCCATATTGACTTCAGGCTATGTCGGTTATGCGAATTTATTTTTCGTAATGTCATCTTTCGCAGATCTTCCTCGTCCTCGCTCTCGTGGCGTTCGCCTCGGCCGACAAGAGGCCTTCCTTCTCCTATGGCGTTCCTCAGGTATGCTAGTCTGGGTCTTGGGTAGGAATATTTCATTCAAAATGTCACCGATATTCTTATTCCAGCTTGATATGGTTAAAAAATCACTACAAACATTTTCTAAAACCTTTTCAGCAGTCCATGGAGGAGGACTCCATGGAGGAGTCTGCTCCCCCGAAGTACGAGTTCCAGTTCGGCGTGAAGGACGGAGACTCGGGCGTGGACTTTGGCCACGGAGAGTCCCGCGACGAGGACGAGACTCGAGGCTCTTACACGGTGCAGCTTCCCGACGGCCGCCTGCAGAGGGTGACGTACCACGTGGACGGCGACGACGGCTACGTGGCCGACGTGACGTACGAGGGCGAGGCTCAGTTCCCGGAGTCCGAGGAGTCCCGAGAGGCTCCTGTGTACGCCCCGAGGCCCTCCTACGGGTACCCGCAATGAGTCAAGCGTCATCACTAATTTATTGAACATTATCGTGTGATCTAGAAAAGAAAAGGTTGATAATAATATATAGATAAAAGAACATGATATGTGTATCATTCATTCATTCCATAAGTAGAAAATATATGAAACATTGTTCAAATATTAAAAAAAAAAAAATATCCATACAATATTGAATTTACATTTTCAAAGAAACATTTATGTTATGTTCTGCATGACTGATTATGAAAGTTTCGTATTTGCTTTAAAGATATTGGAGTCATATGTCCAATTGATTGAAACAGTTCAATCTTTATTTAGAACTGAACTACATGTATGCATAAATATGTGATATATGATACAGTGTGATGTACCATGAATATTTTCACAAATATCTCTCATTCCCTCTCTCTATACACACACAAACATATGTGTGCGTGTGTATGTAGGCAATCTATATATATAGATCAACTTTTTCAATTATTCATTTATAATGGAAACCATAATTAGCTTTTTGAAAATTTACCAGATAGCATAACAAAAACATACACTAAGGCACCAAAAAACATTAACTATATAAAATGTATGACTATACAAGTGCTGTATAAGGAAGTTTTCTGCCTGCTCTCTCTCCCTCTCTCTTACACACACATACATATAGATAGATATACTTATTTACTTATGTATATATAAACACAAACACAGGCATACATACACACCCACAGGCACATATAAATATGAATATATATACACAAGCATATATATTTATATACATATGTATATGTACATATATATGTGTATGTGTATACACATACATATGTGTGTATATATACATACATACATATACATCTGTACTGCATCAAACGTGTTTAAATCAACGAGATCGTCAATGAACTCCCACTCCTGCCCTGTTTCATCCATTTCTCTCACGAGGCAAACAGAGTCTACAAAAAATCTCGCATGAACCGCCACAGCCACGCTAATCCCTATTGCTGTTCGAAATGGATGATAATATCTTCGCCCGCCAACTGCTGCTTCGTCTACTCGTGCTAATTGATAGTTATTTCTCAATCTGTTTAATTTTTCAGTTAATGGTTACTATATAATGGCAATATTTACCGACAAAAAAGTACTGATTACCATTGCTTCGCCTCCCTCCCCCTTCCCTCCTCCATTCATGAATCCGCCCCTTTACTACACAGCGATTGCAGCGCCATCTATGGGCAATAAATAAAACACGCAAGACCATTCCGAGGACTTTAGTCCCAGACTGTACATGTATGTATATATATACAAATATATATAATATATATATATATAATATATATATATATATATATTATATATATATATACACACACACAACACACACACACACACACACACACACACAACACACACACACACACACACACACACACACACACACACACACACACACACACACACACACATATATATATGTATGTGTATATATGTGTGAATATATATATATATATGTATGAGTGTACATGGGTATACATACATACATACATACATATATATATATATATATATATATATATATATATTATATATATATAATTATAGTATATATAATATATTATATACATACATACATATATATACATATAACATATATAATATATATATATATATATATATATATTATATATATATATATATATGCATTATATATATATTATATATGCATATATATATATATATATATTATATATATATATATATATATAATATATATATATATATATACATAATATATATATACATATATATACATACATATATATATATATATATATATATATATATATATTATATATATATATAATATATATATATATATATATATATATTATATATATTTATACATACATACATATATACATACATGCATGCATATATATACATTCTCTCTCTCCTCTCTCTCTCTCTCTCATCTATATATATATATATATATATATATATATATATATATATATATTATATATATATATATATACATATATAGATATGTATATATATATATTCATATATATGTATGTGTGTGTATAAACATACACACACATACGCATACATATATATATATATTATATATATATATTTGAATATATACATTTATGTTTAAACACACTCGCATACACACACATACATATATACATATACATATATATACATAAACACATGCATATTTATGCATATGTATTTATATGCATATAAATATAATTGTATGTAAATGTATGTGTGTGGTCGTGTGTATTGTCTTTTCTTTCAACATTACCTCAATATATCCATTAATTATATATGTATTGAAATATACATAGCAGTTCATTTATACAAACACATAACTTATAAAGAGACAGAAAAGCACACACACTGACTCTTTGAAATTCATACTTCACTTGTTATTAAGGCAAGATCATCCTCTCTCTCTCTCTCTCTCCCTCTCCTTATCCTTTTTCTCTGCCGCTCTCTCTCTTTTTCTTTCAGCTCTCCTCCCTCCCCTTGCTTTTCTCATCTTCTTCCATCTCTCTCTCTCTCTCTCTCCCTCTCTTATCCTTTTCTCTGCCGCTCTCTCTCTTTTTTCTTTCAGCTCTCCTCCCTCCTTGCTTTTCTCATCTTCTTCCATCTCTCTCTCTCTCTCTCCCTCTCCTTATCCTTTTTCTCTGCCGCTCTCTCTCTTTTTCTTTCAGCTCTCCTCCCTCCCTTGCTTTTCTCATCTTCTTCCATCTCTCTCTCTCTCTCCCTCTCCTTATCCTTTTTCTCTGCCGCTCTCTCTCTTTTTCTTTCAGCTCTCCTCCCTCCCTTGCTTTTCTCATCTTCTTCCATCTCTCTCTCTCTCTCCCTCTCCTTATCCTTTTTCTCTGCCGCTCTCTCTCTTTTTTCTTTCAGCTCTCCTCCCTCCCTTGCTTTTCTCATCTTCTTCCATCTCTCTCTCTCTCTCTCTCCCTCTCCTTATCCTTTTCTCTGCCGCTCTCTCTTTTTTCTTTCAGCTCTCCTCCCTCCCCTTGCTTTCTCATCTTCTTCCATCTCTCTCTCTCTCTCTCCCTCTCCTTATCCTTTTTCTCTGCCATTCTCTCTCTTTTTCTTTCAACTCTCCTCCCTCCTCTTGCTTTTCTCATCTTCTTCCATCTCTCTCTCTCTCTCCCTCTCCTTATCCTTTTTCTCTGCCGCTCTCTCTCTCTTTTTCTTTCAACTTTCCTCCCTCCCCTTGCTTTTCTCATCATCTCCCCTCTCTCTCTCTCTCTCCCTCTCCTTATCCTTTTTCTCTGCCGCTCTCTCTCTTTTTCTTTCAGCTCTCCTCCCTCCCCTTGCTTTTCTCATCATCTTCCATCTCTCTCTCTCCTTATCCGTTTTCTCTGCCGCTCTCTCTCTTTTTCTTTCTGCTCTCCTCCCTCCCCTTGCTTTTCTCATCTTCTTCCATCTCTCTCTCTCTCTCCCTCTCCTTATCCTTTTTCTCTGCCGCTCTCTCTCTCTTTTTCTTTCAGCTCTCCTCCCTCCCCTTGCTTTTCTCATTCATCTCCATCTCTCCCTCTCCTTATCCTTTTCTCTGCCGCTCTCTCTCTTTTTCTTTCTGCTCTCTCCCTCCCTTGCTTTCTCATCTTCTTCCATCTCTCCTCTCTCTCTCCCTCTCCTTATCCTTTTTTCTCTGCCGCTCTCTCTCTTTTCTTTTCAGCTCTCCTCCTCCCTTGCTTTTCTCATCTTCTTCCATCTCTCTCTCTCTCTCTCTCTCCCTCTCCTTATCCTTTTTCTCTGCCGCTCTCTCTCTTTTTCTTTCAGCTCTCCTCCCTCCCTTGCTTTTCTCATCTTCTTCCATCTCTCTCTCTCTCTCCCTCTCCTTATCCTTTTTCTCTGCCGCTCTCTCTCTTTTTCTTTCAGCTCTCCTCCCTCCCCTTGCTTTTCTCATCTTCTTCCATCTCTCTCTCTCTCTCCCTCTCCTTATCCTTTTTTCTCTGCCGCTCTCTCTCTTTTTCTTCAACTCTCCTCCCTCCCTTGCTTTTCTCATCTTCTTCCATCTCTTCTCTCTCTCTCGCTCTCTCTCTTTCTCTCTCAAATCTCTCTCTCTCTCTCTCCTCTCTCCTTATCCTTTTCTCTGCCGCTCTCTCTCTTTTTCTTTCAACTCTCCTCCCTCCCCTTGCTTTTCTCATCTTCTTCCATCTCTCTCTCTCTCTCTCCCTCTCCTTATCCTTTTTCTCTGCCGCTCTCTCTCTTTTTCTTTCAACTCTCCTCCCTCCCTCCTTTTCTCATCTTCTTCCATCTCTCATCACTGTCGCGCTCTTCAGTAACTAATCGTATAAAAATCCGTCATACACCCATTTGCTCTCGCAGACGACACTCGCCCGCAGTAGGTGTTGACCCGATGCTCTTTCACGCATCCGACGAGGACCCTCCGAAAGTACTCCTGAGGGGGAAGGTCGTCGCTCTTTCGTGTCTCTTTTTTTTACCTTTTCGCCTTTTTTTTACTCTTTCGTGTTTTATTACCTGAGGAAAAAAAAAAAAAAACCCTGCCAGTGACGTCACGAGGTCTGGGGGGCTATATAAACGGGCTCCGCTAATGAGGGCTATCAGTTGGGTCTCTCTCGTCATAGCACCGTCATGTCTCCTAAGGTGACGGTCCCTCTCCGTGTGGTAGATGAACATTGACAGAAAGAAAGAACAATACGCTTGATATTCCTTCAGTGTCTCATCTTCCGACTAATTATTTTATTATTATCATTATATATAAAGTTTTCCGCCATTTTGTCAGAAAAGTAGAGCGTCTTGCCATTCGTAGATCTGTGTATAGTATACATGTATGCTTATGTAATATATATATCTTCTATCGTTTCAGGTCCTTTTGCTGTTGGGTTTGGTTGCCTTGGCGGCCGCCGACAAACGCCCGACCTACTCTTACAATGCTCCTCAGGTAATATCCGTGACTCAGTGAGATATTTAAGAAAAACATAAAAAAAAAACTTAAAACTAATTAGTAATAGCCACCATAATCGTCGTTATCTTTGCTCACGTCCAGAAAATTAATGGAGCGACTAGAAAATATAACAGAATGAGTAACAAGAAAGGGAATAATAAGAGT